AAATCTCAATATGGAGTGTTAAGCTGATATAGCACTTGTGTGTGCCCACAGTAGAAAGCATTAAACTGCTGTGTATGTTTATTGCCATTCATTTTCAAAGACAACGCAATACTCAAACACTGATAAGGAAAAAACAAAACAAAACAAAACAAACACCGGAACCTTAGCAGAACATATGCAATAAGAAACAGATATGCTCACAAGGATTAAAAAAAAAAAAAAAAATCAGGCAGGGGTGTTTAGTCCATGGCTTTGAGGGCTCATTGAAAATGAAAGGGCATACCTAACAAAGCACATCAGCATTCGCACAATTGCAAATGGACCCTGAAAAAAAAGAAGCCAACTAGTAGATTCATTGGCTCCTGTCTAAAATTGCCCTAGTATGACGTTCTACTGAGTACAGTCAAGATGGCTGCCTCACCATCTTGCCAGCAGATAAAGCGTTTTGAGTCTATAGAAATTTAAAATGATTGATTGACTTGAACTCTTATATGGACAACAAAAGAAGCAGCAACAGAAATGCAATTCCACGCTCACTTTATCAAAGTAAAAATAATCGAACCTAAAATGAATCATCCAAATGCAGGTGGTCAATTTTGTGTGCAATCAATACTATTTTCAATGCAATCGTCTTGACATTTTTTTTTCAAATAAACACAAGACCATGGGGGAGATTTACTAAAACTGGTACAGCTGTGCATAGTAACCCGTTTGTAGGTTTTACCTGTCAAAGCTTAAAGGATACGTTCACCTTTCGCAACATGTTAAACCCATGTTACATCGGGGTCTTAACATGGTACAAAAAGGACCAGCCCCCGTTCCTCTCGGATCCCATGTTGTGACAGCTAACAGGGGATCTTATTACCCCCGCAAGCTGTCACTATTTTAAAACCGTGGCCATGCGGGTCTCCACCGTGCCACTCATTCACAGTAATCTGTGAATAGCAAAACTACAAATTTGGCTTTATGGCTGTCGGCTTGTAGTTCTCAATGAACTACCACTGTGCTGAGGTAGCTTATTGATTCTTCCTGTCAGAGTGTATCTGCCTGCCCATACGAGGTACGAGCACACAGAACTTCTCCCCATACTGCTGTCACATGGAGGGGGATGATCGGCAGCAGCTGCAGCATTGGAAACATGTTACACCCTAAAAACAGGTGGAACATGCAACATGTTCCCAAAGGTGAACATCTAGAAGTAGGCTACTGGAGAGATTTATTTGAATCTGGCTGGGGCAGTTCTAGAAAACACACTAGAGATACACGGAGTTGTACTCTTTTGCTTATCCCAGTAACTTTTATATGAATCCAAGTTTCAAAATATTGGTTTAATTTATTTAATATACTTTCAATGACTGTACACTTGTATTAAAAATGTTACAATTGTGCCACTTTGAAAAAATGGCCAATTGTGCCATTTTGTAAAATATGTTGTACTGAACACAAACATATGGCTACATTCCCAGTCTGGGAGTCTGGCAGTTGTACAATGCGATTGGTTAGCAAGGTATTAAAAATATTGGTTGTTTGTGTCTACCATGCTCACACACCCTTCATAAACAAGCAAGAGCAGCTACTTTTTTTTGACTTGACAGATTTCCTTTTAAAGCAGAATTCCAGGAAACATCTTTTGTTTAGGTGTTTTGGATAGTGTGGGGACGAGATAAAACCTCTTTTAGATTTTTACAGCCACCTCTTGTTTGGGAGATTTCCCCTCACTTCCTGTATGGTCATTCAGAAGCGAGTCTTTCCAATGAGAACACTGCAATGGAATTTTTTTTTTTTCTAAACAGAAGACTGGGAAGGGGTCCATTGTGGAGGGCTCCTCCACTTCTGTCCTGGGGACCACATATGAAGTGAATATCCCCAACAGAACATGTGCCATGACGATCCAGCTGTATAGTTCCTCTAAAAATCTCCACCCATTTCTGTACATGCTGCTACCACCTGTCTCTGTACCTCCGGTATCCAAACTGAAATCAAATATACTGCAAACCCAGAGGAGATAATTGGAGGAACAACAGGGTTACAAAGGTAAGCATGTTAAACAAATGTGCTAGTCATCCTCCACTTTATCATTTTTACTTTTGTATGGTGACTGTCTGTCTATAGCAGGTTTACCTGGCAGAATGTTCTGTACTGGGTTAGTTTGGTGCTAATGTGTTCACCCTCCATCATGCTGGGAAGAGGAAAACAAAGAACACTCTAAAATATAATTAACCATGTGTAGGAAATTTCGGCCCATTTCTTGCACTCATTACTTCTCATTCTGTAGCCCACCAAAAAGACCCTAAACTCAATGTCAGCATCACTTCCTATTACCTACCATATATATTATGTCAGATCACTTACATTCATCCAGCAGTTAAAGTATAAGCCTCATTTCACATATATACGAATCTGGATGTGTTCTGAACCACACCGATTTGTAAAACATGTGAACCAAAAATGTTTCTGTAGAGCCCATTCACATATGAGCGGGCCGGTCACAGTGCAATTTGAGGGAAAAAAAAAAAAATTTCCGTCCGGTTCATATGTGATTTCCAATCTCATACACTTTAACAATTCACATTGAAGATCGCACCTGAACCCCTGAATAAAATCACACCAGACCGGGCTTAAATAACACTGCAAGCCATCCCGCACATGTGTGAACCCACTGAGTCTTCTGAACATTTTCAACATCTGCAACCAAGACTACATCAACGCACATTCTTGCACCTGAATCAGCTGGCCATAAAAAGTATAAAAAAAAATGAATTTTATATTGACGCTGGAAACAGGCGACCATCCAAATAAAATGTATTAATAATGACCTCTTTTAACCAAGATTCCACACACCTTTTTGTACGATGCACATAAACATGCATTCTTGGGTAATAATTGCTTACAAGTTTATGTGAAAGCCTATGGGAAGGTAGATGTTAAAGTAGAACTAAAGTCAAAACTTTTTTCTAGTTTTGGACAGAGTATAGATGGATGAGAACACCTTTTAGGTTTTTATTACTGTCTGTATCCTCCTTTGGTTGATCCACCCTCTTGATTTGTCAACAAAAGTGAAAGCAAAAGAAAATCCCAAATTTCAGGTTGTCCTCAGAATAATAAAAGAGGGGAGATCTTCCAATGGGGACGCTAGTTCTGGTGACCTGTTTTAGCAATGAGACCGAAAGTGAAGGGTAACCTCCCCAATGGGACAAAAATGGCAAAAAACTGACAAGGGTTGTAACCCTCCCTTACTCTATCCAAAATGGAAAAAAAAAAAAAAACGTTTGCTTATAGTTCTACTTTAAACCTGTGGCCAGAGCAGACTTTATGCCATTTCCTTAATTAGAATACTAAGATTAATAAATGTTTTGCCCAGAACTTCTTTCCAGTTCAGCCTCATCAAACAATGATGGAAGAGCCCCCTTCGGAACCCCTGATACATGCTAAATGTTCTTCAAAAATGTTACCAATAACTTATGTGGATGGACAATATCTTGGTGCTCAATTGTTTCCATAAACTTTGAGATTTTCTTAGTGCACTTGGGGGTTGCCCCAACAATTGATGCCCCATGAGATTGGCATACTCATCTATAGCCAGGTCTAGCTCTTCACCTCCTCACTTTCCTTCAGTTTTTAATGTCTGTGGACATCTTAAAGTGGTCCTAAAGCTTAAAGTTTTTTTTTTTTTTTAACTTATTGCATTCTGTGCATTAAGGTAAAAATCTTTCGGAGTGCAGCTTGTCCCCCCAGCCCCCCTAAATACTTACCTGAGCCCGAGCTGGATCCAGCAATATGCACAAGAGCATAGGCTTTCTCCATCCTCATTGGCTTAGACGCAGCAGCATAAGCCATTGGCTTAGACGCAGCAGCATAAGCCATTGGCTCCTGCTGCTGTCAATCACAGCCAGTGAAGAGGGAGTAGCGGGCGGTGCCAAGCTGTGCGCTTATGAGGGGATGAGAGACGTTGCACACACAGAGCCGGCTCAGCAGTGAGGTCGCACAAGTGCCCCCATAGTAAGTGGCTTGCAATGGGGACACTTGGCAGCAGAAAGAAGCCAGGAGCACCAGTGGGGGACTTGAGAAGAGGAAGATCGGGGCTGCTCTGTGCAAAACCATTGCACAGAGCAGGTAAGTATAAACCTGTTTGTTATAAAAAAAAAAACAAAACAAAAAAAAAAAAACAATCCTTTAAAATCACTTTAATTATCTTTTACCTTAACTGTACTTTTAATAACTGACTTGGTAAAACAGCTACATCATAGGTATTAGGCAGTTCCCATAAACACATTAGCCATAAAGGAAAAACAATTTAACCCTACTGTATCATGATCTTCAAGTTTTCTAAATGTTAGAAAATAAAAACAACCAACATTCTACAGACATGTTCATGTGGAAATTACATTAATTCACAAAGCTATTCCACAAACACGTTATTTTTTCCAGATAAAAACTTGTGCACGGTACACCGCATTGCCATCTGCTGGTGAGAGACATCTATTGTGCAGGCCATTCCAGGACAATTGCATTCACGCTGAAATGCTCATCAACTCACAGGAGCATAGAGACTGTTATTTGAGAGAGCTGCTTTACAGCAAGCCAGTGATGTAACACATATCTTGCAGATATCACCCTTGTGCCTAACCAGCTGCATTTATTTTTATCCAAAGCTTTACGTTTGACATAAAACAAAACCACATTTTCTCTGAATAGAAAACATTACTTTATACTAGAAGGGTCAAATATAACCATAAATACATCTGAACACCACAAAAGGTTTGGTGGGTGTTCATGGAAACACTCCTGACATAGCCAAAAAAAATACTAAAGTTATGGCTGGTTACTTATCCAATTTATATAAATTGCTTAACGCTTCAATTAAGGTATCATGTAAAAACTTTGGTAAACTACAAGTCAGTCACTTCTATAGGCTGCTCCATTGTGTTTTGATTCAAATTTGGGGGTAATAGGGAAGAGTTTGTTTGGCTTTCCTATTTTATGGCACCTCTTCTATGGGTCTAGTCAGTAGATAGAGTAATGCAGATACTCGGGGATCTCTGGTGGCTTTTGCCAGGCACAACAAGCTCAGTTCTTTCAGAGATGTACACCAGTTTCTCTTCTTGTAGACTGCAAGCACTAAATCTATTGGTTTCCACATTAGTGCCTGAGCCAGCAGTGTTGACACCTGTGACATTGTGTATAGGAGCTGCCCCACTCATCTGTTCGAATGATTTACTGAATACAGCTGTTGCAGTCCGTGCAAGACTATAGCTTCCAGGTTTAGGGAGTGACTGGCTAGTTGTCAGAGTCAGCCTCTTTAGAGATACTAGCTCTAAATTCTCACTCATGGCTCTTTGATTCTGCTTCCTGTTGAGATGCTCACGGCAAGGATCCCCTGTAGATTCCCTTTCTTTACCCCCGGCCCTGGATCCAAGAGATCTCCTCTGGGCTTTACCCAAAGGCGGCCTACTGAAGCTACCACTGCTGCTGTGAGACATGGCCGACTGGCTTGAGCTTGAGGCTGCCCTGGAACAGAAACCTTCGTCCACCTCTGCTATTTCAGACAGCTCATCTGGTAGGGTCAACTCTGCAGAGTCTGGAAAAACACATGTATTAAACAAAAAAAAAAAAATAAATTAACGTCACAGTTCAAGGAGCAGGAACAAATGTATTGCTACAGCATCATCTAAAGCATTATCTATTGAAGGAGTGTCAGATTATATTTACCCATGTATTAAAAAAAAAAAAAAATTCATATATTCAACCAGTGATTTTGCAGCACACAATATGAAGTGAAGGAAGAGTATAGGAAAAGGTTTTAAGGGTAGTGGTTTTCATACATTTTAAAAGGCTGTTAAGCCCAAGCTGCTATACCTTTAAAGCAGACATTTCTTTAGAAATAAAAGGTTTGCCAGTCCCATACCCCCAAACAAATTTCTTTTGAAAAAATAAAAATGAACAAAAAAAAAAAAAAAAAAACATGAAAAATAAACTGTTGGCACAAGACTTACCTCAGCCCTGGCTTCTGACAGCATGCCTTACCGCTGCCGCCTTAGAAAGCACTGGAAGCAGGGCTAAGGTAAGTTTTTTTTTTCCTCTTTTTTTGCCAACTGCTTATTTTTGGAGAGTTTTTTTTTTTTTTTTTACTACTTCTATTTGGGGTAAAGGGGCTGTCAGTAAAGCAGACCTTCTATTTTTGGTACTTGTGTGTGTGTATATGCATGTTATGAGCATGCCCATCATGCTTCTCCCACAATCTTTACACCCAGTGTTACTATGAAAGCACACAAAACATGGAGGCACACAGGGCTAAAATAATTATTACAAATTACTAGCCAAAGATGCAAAAAAAAAAAAAAAAAAAAAAAAAAAAAAAAACCCCAAAACACAATCCAGCGACTACCTTTCCAACCCTCCTCCTTCACATCATTAGGTTTATTACAAAAATGTAGGTGTGCCTGTGGTGCAAATACATAAAAACTGAAGATTCAAAGAGAAAGCATGCAGGTGACTGTGAGGAAAGCCAAGTGGTTAACCATGCATAAAAACAGATTATATGATCACCCAAATTTAGTGTCTGCTTCTACCACAACCATGAGAAAAGAAAGGTACACCAATTCACTGCAAATTCCAAACCTCTAAAATTTAAGGGCAGACAAATGGAAAGGTCACATGATGCACATTGTGACTTCAATATCTGTTGAGAGTATACAGACTTCCACATTTCTATATATAGACCATATATTGTAGTAAGGACTCTTCTGTATCTGCATTTTTAGAAACATCACATATATCTACTATAGGTGTAGATATATACAATAGTGTTTGCATGCAGCTTATTGCACGTTAGTGTTCCATGCTTCCAGCATATAGCTAAAGAAATCAGTTCAAGCATGAATGCTCTGTTTTAAATAACTCCACTGAAAAAAAAAATATCTGACTGATTAGAACATTCCCTAGTGAAACCAAAAAAACAAAAAAAACAAAAAAAAAAAAAAAAAAAAAACTTACCTACTGAGCACCTCTGGTAAGAACCAGTCACTGACAATTTCTATCCTGTGCAGGTGCTAGAAGACTCCCACGATGTTCATGAGACCACCAAATCACTCAAATGAATCTTTCCATAAAAGGCTAAAAATACTCTACTTTTTTTTCTGATCAAAATCCTCACCTGTGAGCTGAAGGCTTGCATTGTAGGCAACCCCCCAAGTGCCAAGCCTTACCGTTCCTGTGCCAATCAGTGCTAAAGTCCTCAAAAAGCAGACATCACCTTTTCTGACGGTATTGCTGGGAAAGCCTTCCTCCCACGTGCAGAGGGAGCACTATCTTGTGGAAGTACAAAGAGCATCCACAAGTGTGCCAAGGTATCGGGATGGGGCAGCAGAACAAATAGGGGTGGCAAGTAGGAGCAAAGTAATTTCTACCTTAGAGTGGGTCATGTTGGAAGTTCTGGACTAAAATAGGTCCAGACAGACGAAGCAACAAGAGTTTAAGACCTAGGACAGGACAACTCCATGAGTTAAACATTTAGCGTAATGATTATGTGCAAAGTGTAGTAAATCCATGGCACCCAATGAGCTTTCAGTATTCTGAAGACACAGGAAAAACATTTAAATTGGTGAATCAAGGGAAACTCCATTATGCTCTGCTTACACAGCAAATGTCCTAATTACCCCCAGGGAAAGTTAAAGCATTTCAGGTGGAATTGTTTAGGGTACCAAACAGATATGCATGCTTGACTGCAATCATTAAGAAGTACAAATGTTTAGTATGCGCACCCATGCACTGTGACCCTTTCACTTGCAGGTACCTTGTGCCCATCATCTATCAAGTGATTAACACTGCACTCTGCCATGTGAAGACATCCCGTCCTCCATCAATCTCCTTACAGATTTTTGCCTTCTGATTTCTGGCTTGCCCTCAGTTCTAGACTCTGAACAGTTTTCATACAGAGCATCATTATCTGTTAGTTTGATTCTCTCCCCATTGCCGGCTCTGTCTCCTGGCACACTGGTGACACTAATCTCGGGTATGACAAGGTTGCCCATGTCTGATGAGTCATTATTAGTGTCATTTTGCTCTAGATGGAAAAAATAAGAAAAAGGAAGGTAATGGCTGAAATGACAATGGAGGGAATCGGGGGACAAAACAAGTAATGTAAATGAACAACACACAAATGTTACATGAATAATAAACAAATGTAAAATCGGTTAGACATTAGTTATGGTTGAAGCTTGACAAATCTAAAATTAAAAGATCGTTATAGGGGGGAAAAAAAAAACAAAAAAAACAGTGAGTTGTCTGAATACATTTAGTCCAAATAGCTAGCATTCTAAATCGGAGGTCCCAAAATTAAAGGCTGAATACAGCCCATTGCATGCCCTTATCTGACTATTGGTGCACTATTCCTCCCACGGACATAATAGAGAATATTCTTCTCAATCACACCAATGAGGAGACTCAAATCCCTCCACTGGCACAAATGAGACATTATTTCCAGCACAAACAGTGGAACAAAGTCCCTCCCACTGACACCACTGAGGGGGAAAAACTGTTCTCATTTGCACCAACAGAGCAGTACAATTTCTCCCACTAACACCAATAATGGGGCACTGTCCTTCCCTTTGACACCAATAATGGGGCACAATTCTATCCACTGGTGTCAACTTTTAGTTCAGGTTCACACTGATGCAGTGTGAGAAACGCAGCAATTCCTGTGCGTTTCTCGCACCGCATAGCAATCGCACTGTGTTCATGCAATCTGCTGCAGGTGTCAATATTAGGTTACTGACAACCCAAAAGCAGGTCGCAAAATGCAGTGTGTTTGCCTGAATTGGGTGCCTGCACCTTTTTTTTTTTTGTGTGGATGTGGTACAATTTGAGCCATACAAAATAAATGCAAAGAAATGTCACCAGCACACCATGGATTCTTTAAACAGGTCCAAAGGATTTTTAGGTAGTCACATGGTAAACACAAAGGCAATGTTTTGGAGCCGCACATGGCCCTTTCTTCAGGCAAGTCCCATTGTGTTTACCATGTGACCACGTAATAAAGCTTTGGACAAGTATGAGGAATCCTTGTTGTGCTGGTGACATTTCTTCGCTTTGATGGTCTATCGTTTTCAGCCTGTGGTCACTGCAGCACCCAGCAATACTGAAAAGCCATCTACAGGAATGTGTGCTTTGGGAATATTGTGATTGTACAAAATGAATGGGCTCAAATCGCACTCCACAGAATCGCATGTTATTTGCACAGGAATGCAGTGCAATTCATGTGCGCATCACATGCGGTTCACAGTGTGAACCAGGGTTTATAGGACTATTAATCCGAGTTCCTACAGTAATAATTACTTGGCATTTAGAAATGTGGACAGTTCTGCTAAATTAATTAAGACTGTGTTGATCACAACTATTGGCTATGATGTAGTCCACACAGCCCAGAAGCACCACTCTCAGCATTTTTTTTCTTATCAGTTTTATAAATGAAGAATCTGATCTTCTAAATCAGGGGTCTCCAAACAAAAAGGGTCAATTTACTGTCCTTCAGACTTTGTGGGGGCCGGACTGTGGCCAGTGAGAGTAGAAAATGCCCTGGCATCAATGGCAGCAAACACAGCCCCATCATTGGTGTTAGCGGGAGGAATAGTGCCCCACTGTCAGTATCAGTGGAAGGAATAATGTCCCATCATTGGTATCAGTGTGAGAAACAGTGTCCAATCAATGGTGTCAGTGGGAGGAATAGTGTCCAATCATTGGTTCCAGTGGTAGGAAAATGCCCCATCACTAGTGTCAGTGGTAGGAAAATGCCCCATCACTGGTGTCAGTGGTAGGAAAATGCCCCATCACTGGTGTCAGTGGTAGGAAAATGCCCCATCACTGGTGTCAGTGGTAGGAAAATGCCCCATCACTGGTGTCAGTGGTAGGAAAATGCCCCATCACTGGTGTCAGTGGTAGGAAAATGCCCCATCACTGGTGTCAGTGGGAAAATGCCCCATCACTGGTAGGAAAAATGCCCCATCACTGTGGTAGGAAAATGCCCCAGGTGTCAGTAGGAAAATGCCCCATCACTGGTGTCAGTGGTAGGAAAATGCCCATCACTGGTGTCAGTGGTAGGAAAATGCCCCATCACTGGTGTCAGTGGTAGGAAAATGCCCCATCACTGGTGTCAGTGGTAGGAAAATGCCCCATCACTGGGTCAGTGGTAGTCCCCATCACTGGGGTCAGTGTAGGAAAAATGCCCCATCACTGGGGTCAGTGGTAGGAAAATGCCCCATCACTGGTGGTCAGGTCAGTGGTAGGAAAATGCCCCATCACTGGGGTCAGTGGTAGGAAAATGCCCCATCACTGGTGTCAGTGGTAGGAAAATGCCCCATCACTGGTGTCAGTGGTAGGAAAATGCCCCATCACTGGGGTCAGTGGTAGGAAAATGCCCCATCACTGGTGTCAGTGGTAGGAAAATGCCCCATCACTGGGTCAGTGGTAGGAAAATGCCCCATCACTGGGGTCAGTGGTAGGAAAATGCCCCATCACTGGGGTCAGTGGTAGGAAAATGCCCCATCACTGGGGTCAGTGGTAGGAAAATGCCCCATCACTGGTGTCAGTGGTAGGAAAATGCCCCATCACTGGGGTCAGTGGTAGGAAAATGCCCCATCACTGGTGTCAGTGGTAGGAAAATGCCCCATCACTGGTGTCAGTGGTAGGAAAATGCCCCATCACTGGTGTCAGTGGTAGGAAAATGCCCCATCACTGGTGTCAGTGGTAGGAAAATGCCCCATCACTGGTGTCAGTGGTAGGAAAATGCCCCATCACTGGTGTCAGTGGTAGGAAAATGCCCCATCACTGGTGTCAGTGGTAGGAAAATGCCCCATCACTGGTGTCAGTGGTAGGAAAATGCCCCATCACTGGTGTCAGTGGTAGGAAAATGCCCCATCACTGGTGTCAGTGGTAGGAAAATGCCCCATCATTGGTGTCAGTGGGAAGTATAGTGCCCCATTGATGGAGTCAGTGGTAGGAATAGTGCCCAACTGTTGATATCGATGACAGGAATTATGCCCAAATGTTGGTGTCAGTGGGAGGAAGTGTGCCCCAAGGGCCAGATAAAGGCAAGCTAATGGCCACATCTGGCCCCTGGGCCACAGTGTGGAGACCACTGATCTAAATGATTAACTGCTAAAGTCACAGCTGCTCTCCTATATCTACTTTCTATTCAAAATGATTCCGATTCCCAGTTTAAATGTCGAGTTACATAATGCATGTTTAGCACTGATATGATTGATAAAATAGGATGAGAGAAGACTTGGACAGCGGTTGGGAGGATTAGTCTATGATTATAAACTAGATAAACATTTGTATCCAAGGCAAAAAATACTACATTGTAAATCAGAAAAAATGATTTACAAAACAAAAGTAGGAAAGATTCCTTGAAGAGAAATACTTGCTATAGGTATATTTTTTCTTTATTAAGCTTTCTTTATGAATGCTTATGCTTTTATTTATCTTTAATTTTAAAGGGTGTAAATGTTAAAGCGTAACGTGTGCACATTTTTTTTCTTTTTTTTTTTTTTAAATATTGCGGTCAGGACTCAGGTGGTAGTGGGGGAAAGGTGTCAAGATGTGATGGAGCGACCCCTCTCTTCAACAGTAACTGCACCCCAGCACCCAACAAGCATATACTTTTACCCTTCTGTGGTCTCTTTACCAGACTACAAAAGATGAAACATGTTTGGGAGAACTTTTCTTACAACCCTAAGGCCTTGTAAACAATGACTTCAGATTGTATAAGCCTTTGCAAAGCATTTTTTAAAGCTTTTTTTATAAACTGGTTTTAATGGGAGTGCTCGCTGTCACTTTGACCATTTGCAGTACATACGCCATTTATAAATGGGGGGGCTTCAAAATAGTTAAAGCAAGCTCACAGCTGCGAGCTTGGTACCGTTTTTTTTCCTTTAGCTGGAGTTAAATGGACATGCATTAATCATTGCAAGCAAAAAAATATATAAATGCCAGCTTTTTAATTTGAAAAGCTAACCAAGGATTGATTAAATGAGGCTTCTAAATTTTGAACATTTCTTTACCACCTTTGAAAATTTTGAATGAAATTAGAGTGCGTATTTATTATTACAGTGTTTAATGTCATTTTTTTGATAATTCTCACAATCTTGTTCTTTTGTATTTTAATTAAAGTGGTGTTAAATCCAAAAGCAAACATACTGCAGCTTACCAATTCTTAGATGTAGTGGCTGCATTTGTTTTCTCTTTTAGGCTTTCTTCCTTCTATTTTTACCTGCTGATCTGGCCAGTAAGTCTGTTGTTTTTGAAAGGAGAAGCACTCTTGCAGATGTATAAAAGTTACAGTGATGATACAAACCATTTAACAATGACATGGATGCTTACAATGATCAGTTTTGTTTATTCATGTAAAATTATCCCCAAATGAAATAAAAAAAAAAAAACGCTGTAACTGCTTATAAAGTGTTAGCTGGGGTTTGGCTTCAATCTGTATGTGTATTAAAATCTGCTAATGCATCTAACACCCCCTTTCCCACACAATGGCAATGTTGCTGTCCAAATGTGTCCCTTGTGCTCCTTCATCCAGACTGGGGGTACTCCAATATAGGATGTGCATTACTGCCCAGATAACTAGGTGAAAAAGAGAGAAGGGGGGGGGGGGCTAAAAAAAAAGAAAACTAATGCAGCCATCACATCTGAAGATTGGTAAACTGTCACATTTTTGGTTTTTAGGGTTTAATACCTCTTTAAAATGTATATTTTTCTTCATTAGCCCCAGTGCCATCACTCTACTCTATCAGCAGCTTTTGAGAGATATCCACAAAAGGATATGCATTGTTTTCAGATGACCAGTATTAGCATTGGGAAAAACAAATAGTAAAGCTCAAAAGTCTGAGCCTGACTATGTGATGAGAAAGTCTAAACTGCAATGACGCAAACATTTCCACACTGAATGCGAAACTCCTTGGCACTTGTATTATAATCTGACCATTCAATGGCGATGGTGGTGGTGTGTGTATAACGGTGTTGATTAGATGTGATCAGACTTCCCAGTTAAGTGGGACAGCAATCAGATTTAACAGACAATGTTTAGCTCTGCAATAGGTGTTGAATGCTTAGGATTTAAATTAGAATGAAATTATTTTTTTTTTTGCAATTTTAGTAGGAACCTGGAGAATGACTTTTCTTTGTAGGACTTTGTTTTCCCATTTCATCCTTTGACAGCAATGAAAAGGTAGGTGTGTATTGCGTGGAAAGAGCAAATCATTGTACTAAAAGAATTCTGATGAAATTGGAAAATAAATTTAGCATGTGTAGCCACCACTATGAGGATACTTTCCACGTGCTTTACTCCAGGCACAAACCCAAGACAAATGTCCCATTACACAAAGAAGGTTTGGCCCACTACGTGTGGTTTTTAAACAGCTGATGTTATTATGAATATAGTCTGCCCAGCTACAGATCTATGGGGTTTACATGAGTTGTTGGAATTGCTTTTTCTTTATACTTCATTATCCTTCGTTAACATAACCACTACATTACCACAAGAAGAGTTTGGATGCTCTGCCAGAAAATTAATATAAAACGTGTGCTCATTATGCAGCTATCTGATCCTGGGAGATAAATGGTGCTCTATGAAATCACAAAACAATCACATGCACTTAACAGCACAAATGTGAGAAATGATGGCATGATTAGATCAGTCTGATGAAACCTACATTTCTTCAACTGCTAAATTGTGTGCTCTGAATTATGCATGGAAACATATTCCTGGATTGTGTTGTCAACGTATACTGTGTAATGCTCAATCCGGTATAGTGAGTGAAATGGGCAGGAAAAATGTAGCAGATTGTAAAATCAGTATAATGAATGTTGCATATTCACCAGCAAACTGCAATCTGAAATACTGACAAAATACTCATATTTCTTAATAATAGGCATTTTTACAGTATTTCAAGCAAACATAATGCATAAATTGTGCCTACATTTATAAAACAAATCATATCTGTGTGTCTATTCTTGGTATATCTGACAGAACAGCTTTAAAGAAGAACTCTACTTCCATACCATGCCACTGTGCTGCATAACACAGAGTATAATACGCTACTGCCAAAAATAACCTGCGTGTCTTTTACATCATTAAAATAAAAAAAAAAAAAAAAAAAAAAAAAGTCATTACAAAGGCTTTAAAGTAGAACTATAGGCAAAACCTTTCCCCACTTTGGATAGAGTAAGAAAGGGTTATAACCCCTATCAGTTTATTTTTTGGCATCTGTGTCCCATTGGGGAGATTTACCTTTACTTATCCCATAGCCAAAATAGCAAGTGAGAGATAATCCCCACAAAATTAAGGTAATTCCTTGGGGACCCCCAGGTCACCAGAACTAGTGTCTCCATTGAAAAATTTCCCCTCCATTACTTTTCTGGGGATGACCCAAAAACTTTTACGGTTTTCTTTACTTTCATTTTCAAGGATAATGGTTAACAGAATAAATAGAGAGGGTGAATCATCCTAAAGGGGGCATAGCCTGCAATAAAAAAAGGTGTTCTAATCCATCTCTACCCTGTCCAAAACTAAGAAAAAATGTTTTGCATTTAGTTATACTTTAAAAATGATGACTGAAGCATTGATCCATGTAACCAAAATCCAGTAACTTCAACTGAAACGACCACCACTCAGACATGTATTTGGTAAAGCATAAGAGCAAACCTAAAAAAAAAAACTCACCATTACGCTTCCACCTGTGTCCTCTTATAGACATACTGGTGACAGCATTTCTAGATATCCTAGATGAGGTTGGAGCAATTTCAACCTGTATACTTTTAGCACCTCCCTTAGTTCCCTTAATAGCAGCCTGAGGCAACGAAGCCTTTATTGCATTTGCAACCTGAAAGAGAATAAAGAACTCAGCATCAGGATCTATATCTATTTATATATTTGACAATCAGACCTGTAGGAGAAATAATGTACTGGGGTAAATGTTATGTAGTGGGGTCATACAAACTAGGGAAAAGGATCTGTACAATCCTTTGGTTATCAACTAATTTCAGCTGACATTTGTCAAGTTTACAAAAATGAAAAAAAGAAGCAGATTAGTTACGTAGTTGACAGACATTTTTTCTTCCTAAATATATAAAACCAGTTTAAGTATTACTAAAGGCAAAACTTTCTTTTTTTTTGGTTTTGGATAGAGCTGAGAGGAATTCGGACACCTGTCAGGTTTTATTGCGGTCTGTGCCCCCATTAGGGAAATTCACTCTCTATTTGTCCTGTCTACCATTATCAAAAAGTGAAAGTAAAAGAAAAACCACATTGTGGGCTAAAACCCTCTATTACTTTATCCATAATGAAGAAAAAAAGTTTTGCCTTTAGTTACCACATTACCCAACAACCCGATTTTAACAATCCAATTCAAAAATCCCATAAAGCGGAAGCTGTTCCATTACTGGAACATAGGCTACATCATAATAAGTACATATGCTAGTCATACACATGAGATATTTGTAGGCTTTTATCAGCTTTTGACTGAAAAAACACAACATTTCTGTACAGTGTATATGAGCAATTCACAACAATATGCCCCCTATATTTAATCATTCTCTGTTGTTGAGCGGAAAAAAAAAAAAAAAAAAAAAAAAAACACAACAAAAAACAGTACAGAAATGGAGAAAAAAATGCTCATCAACTGGCATTCCAACAATATCCTTTGATTTGCGCTAATATATCAATCTTTTCATTCATAAAAGCTTGAAATACCCTTTATTGGCCAACCTAAGTTAATAAAAACGCAACTTTTCAGGGTAACTTAGATCCCGGTTTCTTAATTTGTATTAGTAGGTATTTGGGTACACTTATGTGCTGCGATATATCTGGCATAACGAAAAACTTTTTTTTTTTCTTATTTCTATAATCTTTTTCTTGGAGTCCATTCAATTACACAGGAAATCTTAAACCTATAGGCATACAAGCCTTGCCAAACTAAAAAAAAAACCCCGCAGGCCAGCCTGGGGTGCAACACCTACTATCAGCACGCCTCAGTTTTCTAGCAAAGCAACACCAAGACCAGGAGCACAAACACAGTGATGAGGTACGTGCCTTTCAAAGGACTCAATACAGAACACAAATTCTAGTTTGTTTATCTTTCATTGAGAGACAATGGAATTCAAACACTGTTGGAACACCCAAAAGCAGTCCAACTAAAGAGCTGACAACACAGCAACAATTGTTAACAGGCCCAAGAAGAGAACTGGGGATTGACTACAGCTCAGCAGCCATCTGAAGGAGAAAAAACTCAAAATTGATTCCAGTACCCCCTACCAATAGGGGAATCTGCCAACATGACGAGAGGGAGAAAGGGAGAATCAATCTGATCCTCAAGACCTAGAGAAAAAAAAGTTGACCACCAGTTGCAAAGGCTCCACAAGAAAGGGAAACCAAACCTGACCTAATGTGATCGTGATCAACAGAAATTCAACCAAAAAACAGGCGGAACCACAACTAATTCCCATGAAGGGAAGGAAGAGAAGACCCACAACCTGATGTGGTCAAAAAATGGGGTCAGCCCATAGAGAGAACAGGTTCCAGGGAAGAAAACTAGGTTTAACAAATCTAGTGAGATGATCTACATGAAAAGGCCCAAGGCCTTTTGCAGCCCTGATCCTCTAGGATCAAAGCAACAAAAAACTCTGGCTCAATAGGTTGACTTGCCAGACAACCAATCTCACTAGGTGAGGGTATTACAGTGTTCATGTGAATAGCACATGAAAGGGTATGCAGGAATGAAGCACCAGACTGCCTTGATAGTACAACTGATAATGAAGCCAAGGATTCTGCTGAAGAACTGCCCTGCCTAACCCTGACCTCAAGCAATTTAGGTCAGGGGGTCCCTTTGGAGAAGGGGTGCCACTGAAAGGTACCATAAAGAGCTTTCATGCTCCAAGGACAGAGGACTTCCCCTGAGGAAAAGCCTGGTGGCCTGATTGTGACACAACAGAGACAGAGTTAACCTATGGTCTGAAGCAAGGTGTCCTGGGGTGAGAAGAACCTAAGGAGAATGGCAAAGATGCATTCATCTGTGCAGAGGCACAGTGGAGGATGGAAGGAACAGCTGAAAGGAGCACTGGAGGCAAATTAGCATTTAAAATTACAGGGAAGATCTCCTAATCCTGAGAAACAAACTACCCCCCAAAGACCCTCCAGTATTCAAATGCCACCCCCCCCCCCCATGTATCAACCCCCCTACACACACTCTGCGCATTTGTATGGACATCAGATCCATGCAGGGCATAGGGTTAGATGTTTGTAAAAAGTATTTAAAACTGATGCATAAGGGTCTAGACATCTATTTTGTATGTTCTATAAGAGGCCTAATCCAGATTAGGGTCACAGCCTCCTGGGGGAGGTCAAAACCAGCCAGAGCCAACTGTCGTTTAAGGAGGGGTTAACTCTTTCTGCAGTAAAACTGCCAAAACTGTAAAATTTAAAATTGTGAGCTCTCTGGCCTTTAGGCATATCCCTGAGGATTATGTCAAGGGCTGGTCTGCTAAAACGTTATTCCTTGAAGACCAAGTAAATCAATGCGCCTTGGACACAATGTCTGCATCACAGCATATTACCTAACAAAAATTAGGTTATATTTTTCCCAGCAGAGCTGAAGAATAGATTTTCATCCTACTAGGACACTAGCAAAAAACTGAGGCATTCTGTTAACAGAAGGGGTTATACCCTGGTCTGGCCTATAGTTTTTGTTTTTATTTTTTGTGCCAGTGTATAATCTTCCTATAGGCAGGAGTATAACCCAAAGATTTATGATGTCTTGTGTCCCTCAATGGACAAGAAAGAAAAATTCTTTATCCTGCCTTTATAGAGCTCCAATCATATTAAAAAGATCATTATGAATAGTTCTTTATGCTTACCAGAAGAGGCTCTGGGAACAGTTCCAGCTGTGCCCTGTACAGAACATCATCCAGTGCCCTACGTGCAGAATCCCATTCTCCATTATAACTGCAAGAAAGAATTAAAACATAAGAATTCCAAAAAAACTTAAGTCACTTGTACAAATGTGAGGCAAATAGATTACACTTTTGAGGAATGAAAATCCAATCAACCTGAGGTTTTTATTTTGGTGGCACGGGCAGGCTGATTCACCTACTGCTTTTTATCCCTTGACTTGAGATCACTTGCATTTCCAGTTTTACTCAGCTGTTACAACCATCACATTCAGCTGCCTGTTGGGATTCAGATGGGGAGCTCAAATGTCAGCTGAGAGATCTCACAATTGGGAAGCCCATTAGACAAAAAAAAACAAATAAAATAGGATTTTGTTTACTCACAGTAAAATCCTCTTTTAAGAATCTTGAGTGGCACAAGAAGTCTTAAACCTATGAGTAATACTGATATACAACAGGAAAATTGGACACTGGCAAGAAAATATAAATTCCGTAGCCCATCCCAGGATAACTCCTCTCACTACCTGCATATCTCAGTTTTGTAGCAAAACAGTTCCAAGAGCATGAAAATGGGATTGGTGTCTCTCAATGGACTTCAAGAAAAGGATTTTATGGCAAACACAAAAATCTCATTTTCTTTCTCTTAAACTGAGTGACACAGAGGGGTTTATTTACTAAACCTGGTTGACTCAGAATCTTGTCCACTTCTGCATAAAAAACAATCAGCTTCCAGGTTTTATTGCTGAAGCTTAACTGAACATGCTAAGGTTAGAAGCTGATTGGCTACCATGCACAGGTGCCCAAGATTCTGAGTCAACCAGTTTTAGTAAATCTCCTATAGAAAGTCTTTGACCTTCATGACTTTCAAAAGCACTCTATCCGAGAACTGGGCCAAAAAGTGTACCAATGCTCACAGTCCCAGGAAAACTGGGAACTTAGAATAGAGGAGTGCCTGCAGATCAAAGGGATGCCTGAAGGGCCTTACATCAAAACTAGCATCAGGCCACAATGTTCACTTGGTAGAACCTATACAGCAAGTGAGCATAATGTCAGGTGGAAGCCTTGCTAATCTGGGAAAGCATTGCTTGATGCTGAAAATCCCAAGAAGCAGAGATTGAGAAACTCACGTAGCCCCAATCATATCCAGACAATGGAGAGAAATTTCCTTTTGGTGAACTATAGCCAGACATATGGACTGAAGAATGATTTCCTAATTAAAGGGAAAAAAGTACAAACTACCTTATGCAAGTCATCCTGGTCCTCAACTACGTTGTCTCCAATACAAAAAAGGGTTTCTTGCAGATAAAGCAGGCAAGTTAAATTCCTCATCTTGCACAGATGACAACAATAAAAAATACCACCTTGTGGGTGAGAGTTAAATCGAGGAATGTCTCCACTGGGTTCAAATGATGGCTTTTAAAGCAAAGAAAACCAGATTCAGATCACAGGAAGGCACAGAGGAACACACAAGGGGAACTACAGGTGAGACCCCTTGTCCTAATCAAGGAGAGAGAGGCCAGTAGTCTTTGTAACAGTATACAGATGGCAGAAGCCTGGTGTTTGATAGTGCTGAGAGCCAAATGTAGTTGCGGAAATGAGAGAGTATTCATCCCACAGAGAAACATCTAGGGTGAAAGAACCTGGACTTCCATGTCCAACAATAGGCCTTGCAGAAGTAGACAAACCTGTCCAGTTTCCTGTTGAACCTGAAGGTTCTCCACAGTGTCTCCACCTGCAACAGAGGTCCTGGAACACCGCTGGGTGTAGGGACCACTCCCTGCATCTAGGCTCTGTTAGCTGAGAAAGTATGCCTGCCAATAGTCTATGCCTGGGAATTAAATAGCAGACCAGGCTGAATCAAGAAGTCCTGCCTAGGACAGGACCCAATCTACCTCTCTGCAGTAATACTTCTGGTGCCTTCCTGATGGATGATGTATGCCACCACAGTGGCATTGCCCACCTGAACCATGTTCGAATAGATCTCCAACAGGACTGTCCAATGCTGCAGAGATAGCAAAACTGGCCAAAGTCCCAGGATATTGACCAAGTCCCCAGCACCGGGGACTACAGCCAGTGTCTACTGCTCTGTCCTGTTCCTGCTTTCCCTGTGCAGCGGCAGGACAGAGCACTGTAGCAAGCTGGTGACACCAACCTTAGTGACGCTACTAGGGTTAACATCCAAGGTAAAGAGAGGGCAAATGGCAATCCCACAAATTGGTAGTGTAGGAGCCACAAAGCAAAAAGGAAGGAAACACTTATGCAGTAGAATGACGGGGGCAGGTCTGCGTCCACAGAAGCCAGAAAGTCTCCCTGGTGAAAGGTGGCAATGACAGACTTGGCGGATTCTTTGCAGAATATCTGGGTTTAAATGAACACATTCAGAGCTGTGAGATCCAAGATAGTGAAGATGTCCCCTTTGGGTTTGGGAATAGTAAACAGGTTGGAGTAAAATCCTTTAAACAATTCAGCCACAGGAATGGGGCAATGAGACCGAACTCAGAGCCAGAGGGGACAGCGGGTGAAAGACTCCTGGCTGCACACGAGTGAGTTGAATGATGGCTATGACTGGGGCAGGCTTAATCTCCAGTCAGTGACAGAACAGAGCTCTCTTGATGACTTTCTTGCCACAGCAGAGTTGGCAGGGACAGAATTTGTTGCAGGTGGCAGCACAAAATATTTGGATTTTCCCTCACTTTTGGACCAGGATTAGTGGTCACCAGGAAAACTAGAGGGAATCTTCACAGTAGGAACATACAGCGATCTACATACACTGACTTCATTGCATCCAGAGAAGGAAGCCCTTGATCCAGGTGGTTCACCCATATCTTAAAGAAGTCCTCTGAGCCCAGCTGTTTATTGCTTGATGACAACTTTTTCCTTGGGGAAACTGCACCCGCTGTGTGACACCTTGGTTGATTGATATACCATGTGCATTTCCTGTGCGTGGTCGGTGAGTGCAAATTTCTGTCATTTCCTTGATCACAAGCTTTTTTGAGATACCTGCAGCTGTGGAAGGGCTCATTTGTTACCATTAAGGAGTTAACCTTTGGACAAACTTTTGGACGATTACTCATTTAATGTTGTACAGACAGATTAAGGGGTATGTTAGTGACTAACTGGACACACTGAATTACTCCAGACCAGTATTGCTGTATACCAGGGCAGTCCCAGAAAACATGCATAAAATTGGCCCCAGAGACTGAGCAATGCCAGCAGGAGGATGAGTCATAACCAAACACTTTTGCGCCTAGCAGGAGTTAGATAAATACAGTGAACAAATTTGTAATGTATAAACTAATCCAGAGCAGAAATGAGACTGAGAGGGGGTATCCCAAATATCCTCCCAATCCTTTGTATCAAGACCAGGAACCACTGCCTCCCAGCTGGTCATACATTTAGTGAGTAAGCTATAAGTGGGAGGAAACAAGGACTTATATACAGTAGACAAGGGTTTGAGTAGATCTTTCCATAACATAGTTTCTATGTCTGAGGGTGCAAAGGCAACTGGGGCCCTCCCAAACTCATTGATATGCATGTCTGAGTTGTAGGAACTTAAAAAAATGCATATTTGGCAGGCCTTGTATAGCTTTCAACTTATCAAAGGATCGCAGGACCCCATTGTGTACTATATCCCCAATGGTTTTGACCCCAGAGTGTGTCCACACTATTGGATCCTCATAAGTAAAAAAAATGGGCTAAATTAGGATTTTTCCAGAAAGGAGCATGAGAAGAGTGGGGGAGGGATCCACTAGCATCTCTCCCATGCGCTGTCATGCAGGCCCGAAAAACAGATCTCATACTGTAGACACAGTCTGGGGGTGAGGGGATTTGCAACCTCGATGAACAAAGCGTGTTAAGGCTTCATAGGAACCCAGTATGGCTGCCTCCAAGGCAACTGCTGCATCATCAAGAGGTTTTGTGAGCCATCTATGTGCAAACACTAACTGCCCAGATAGGAAATATTTGTGGAAAACCGGGACCACCATTCCCCCCTCCTTCCATTGTTGCTGCAGCACTACCAGCCTAATCCTAGGCGGGCCCCCCTGATAAATAAAGCCTGAGATCAGGCTATGTATAGACTGAAAAATGGATTTGGGTATCCAAACTGACAATTCATTTTTTAAGAAAATATGAAAGAAGGTGTATGGTTGTGGGTGTTAGGCCCCTTTTACATGGGCTGTATCCAGTTTGATCAGCAAGGTATCCGTGATAATATCCCCTGCTGAATTGAAGCCTATCAAAATGGATATCACTTGTAAGAGTGTCCATTCAGTTTTTTTGCATTTTAAAACAAACTTTCCAGACCCATTTAAATCTATTGGAGGTCGGACGTAAACAGACTTGCATCCATCACATTTAGGTCAAAAAAAAAAAAAAAAAGGTAAATGGTAAGGCATACAAACCTTCTGAACGCACTTGGAGGTAATTGAAGTAAATTAAAGCAAGTTCATTTACATCTTGTTGCTTATAGACTTGTATGGATCTTCCAATCAAGTCCTCCTAAAACACGGACATGTTTACCTGATCGGGCTGCCTGTGTAAAAGGTGCCTTAAAAAGAAATATCTTCAGATGGCTGGATCATCTACTAATAACTAAAAAGTTATAATATAATGGTTTAATAGGATTTGCTGTTAAATACCAGAATCTTGCCTTTTAAGCTTCTTGGAATCCTCTGCACAGCATCACTCAGACTGGGAGAGGCAGGAATAGAACTGTAAACCAACCAGTGTCTTCCTCATTACACAGTGGTGTCCAACGTTGTGAAAAGGGGAGAACTGAGGGACTCCGTTATCAGTGTACTGCTCCTTTATTGTTCAATCACAGGATGAACCTGTCCTAGACCGCTTTACATTACTTGACTGCAGTGAAATATGCGGAGTGGTCTCAAACTACAAACCTGGATGTGATGCCTAGCAGGGGCTCCACAATATTGTGTTGCCCAGAATTACTTTGACAGTTAAGGCTGTTGAAATACAGTTTAATGACATGTATGTGAATATTTGCCTGGAGTTCAGTTTTAAATCTCTGCCCTTTGCAGAGTATAGAATAAGTAGTAGTCATGATGAAATAGTCTTGAATACATAAAGTAGTATATATTCTATTTGTTTTGAGGTTTCTAAAATATTTTATGTTATAAAAAAAAGCTCTTTAAAAGCTGGAATCATTCTGACTCCAAATAAACACTATGTTCTATCATTACAAGTTATGCCTCTGATGCAGCTTTGTATGATAGCTCAACGTTGCCATTAGTTACCCCATGCTTCGCCCACTTTCATATGTCCTTGGCTAGATTAGCAAACCTGAACAAAGTGGAGAGAATGATTTCTGTCCTCCACCCACTTGTTTCCTGGCGACTAAACTTATACTGTCTAGAGCTGTGTATACCTGTGCATGGTGGTTACCATGGTTTCAATACTGTGTCTCTCCACTCTTATTTTTTACGCCGATACATCAATAAGATAACACTTCAAGTATTCGTATTCATTTTAAATTAGAATATTTGAAACATTTAACAGGGCAGTGCAGCATTCATTAAAACGTGGTCAATGTAAAAATCTACAACATTCACTGATGAATATGTAAAATGTTCCAGGGTCTCATCCATCTGTATAGAGAAGAGTCATTTTCCAACATACAGACTGCCTAGTGAGTTCCATAAAAGAACACTGGCAAATGCCTGAGCCTCCCTTAGTCTAAAATCACAGTTAAATCTGTGAAATAGTAAGCCCAGATAAGCTACTGTAAGGTCGTGTGTATTAGTTTTTGGGCATGCATCTATAAAAGAAAGTATGTTTTGTAACTATGTTTGTTCCCTTCGTAAAAGCAGTCTCCATCAGACTTTATTACTTGATTAATTAAAAATGAGGGTTTCTCACAGATCGCTTAGAGCAGCCAGAAAGTGCATTGCCATTACTTGGTGGGCACACAGCTTGGGATCACTTAAAAGGTCTTGTTCGTATGTATGGGTAGGGAATAGGAGATAGAAGTAGTAAGGAACTGGCATCTTTCCTGCTTTTCTAACCTGCGTGGTCTATTGTCCCCCACCCTTGAGTCCACTTGTGGAAGGTTGGTGCAGGATTCAAAAACATAAGATGGCAATCTGATCACATGGTAAAGAGCCTATGTCATCGGCTCTTTACCGTGTTCAGTGATCCTCTGTGTTCAAGTGACACAGCGCACCACCGATCACTACACCACACGCCCTCAGGGATGCTCATGCGCGGTTAGAGTGGGGGAGGACATCATATGATATCCTCCCAGAACAAGAAAGCTCCTGCTCATCCGTCACTTCCCAATACGGTGGGTGGGAGGTGGTTAACCCCTTGGCGCCAGCGCTTCCCAGCCCTTTAAGGGTTTCAGAAGCTGGGAGGCGGAGTTTCAGGGTCATGTGACCGTCAAGATACGCCGTCACATGATCGGGAAAGGGCCGATCGAAAGAGGAGATCGGGACCTTTCCGTGAGTACAGGACATGTGTGCTGGGAGTGCGCAAGGCACGCGCTCTCAGCACGTTTTTCTTAATTGCACGCAAATGTGCGGCCGCTTGGCGTCAAGACCCAGATGCCGAGAGGCCGCACATTTGCGTGCAGCCGGCGCCAAGAGGTTAAAGTGCATCTAATAAAATTGTATTTTTTCGATTTAGTAAACTATAGAGAATGTTAGCGTGTCCCATCAGATGGATATTCCTTCAATTTCTGTCCAGGAGACACAACAGGAAGTGAAGGGAAAGTTGTCAATCTAACTGGAGTCCCTATTTGAAGATCTATCCTATCTTTTTCATGTTATCCTGCTTGAGGTGGTTGTAGCCATAGTAGTGCATTTGCAAACAAAAACAATTGAATACTGTCCATCCAAATTTTCAGGACAAGCTTTTAGGTGTACCCCCTTCTTTAAGGTCCAAACAGTATTAGTAGTGCTTGGACTTTGAATAAAAGGGTACACCCCGAAAGCTTGTCCTGAAAATTTAGATGTTGGTGCAAATAGGGGAAAAAAAAAAAAAAAAAAAAAGGAATCACGAACAGTACTCAATTGTTTTTGCATATTTTATCCGAACTAGTGAAAAAAAACCTTTTGCTATAGATACACATTAAATGGAAAATACTATGAGTATTATAAAGGTTTTAACTTACAATGAGTAGTAAATTCCGGTAAGAAGCTGGACCATAAACTCAGAGGAAACCGGTATTCTGTTCTTCACGCCTTTGAATTTTCTTGCATGTTGGCGAGGATATCCACTGAGGCAAAGTCTGCAGGAGAAAGTGATAAAGGATTTCATATGTTAAACTGAAACATTCTAGAAGTAGCTATTGAAGAGAATACATCCACTGATCAAAGGAAAAAAAACAAAAAAACAATTTAGTCTATACTTTACTACACTTGGGGTTTCAAGATGCCGGTAAATCAAAACGCAGAACAGGTTTATGGGAAATACCATTAAACACATATAAAAGAATAGCAAGTACAGCTTGTAATGATAGGTTTCCATCTATTCTTTAAGCAGTCTATATAGCAAAAATATCTTCAATTATGCATCAAAGTCTCCTTTTTGCCAAGCAGAGTGGTTTGCATTGTTATTTTAAATTTCACAGTAAGCAGGATTCCATAAAATGCAGGGAAAATTATTACCCGTTATATTTCTTTGTGACATTTTACAAAAAAGGATTTTGTCTCTGATTCTCAGAACATTCCAATCAATCCACCTACTTTGTTAACAAATATCAGAGCGTATGACCAATCAGATGCAGTCTAGCCCAAACTGTCATCACTGCAAGGAGAGGGAAGAAAGCAACAGGGATTTGAAATCCCCACCGCTTTCTCTCCTCTCCTACCACTGACACTCAGCATGGGATGCCTGCAGGGAGGTATCTCACACCGCTCCCTATGTGAACTCGGGCTATGACAAGCCTGGGTTCACACAGGAGCAGTGGGGAAACTGCATGCTATTTGGACAGGAATCGCATGCTAAAAAAAAAAAAAAAAAAAAAAAAGCCTAAACCTTTTCCAAGACAAATGTCAACACTACACATAAGTGCAAAATGGCCCCATAAATGGGTTTCCTTTTGTAATGTTCCCCAATGGGCAGAAAAAAAAGCCTGAAAGATAGTTTAACTCTTCCTCAGGCTTTAAAAGTTTTGACCACTTCTTGCAGAGTGCTTCTAGTTGAGAAATATTTGTAAGCTGTTCTGCAAGTACTTCATGTTTAACATCTCCTTATCTCTCCCCAACATCTGCATATTAAACAGTAGTAGATGTGCCTTAAAGGCCTTCTCCAAAGAGATCAAAATTTACAAAGGCTTTAGTTGAACAGATGGCAACCACTGGGGGAGAAGTGACTTAGGCAGAGGCAGCATATGTGAAAGACCCATCCTTAACTAGATACCACAAGTGACGTGAGTCACTTTGGGTGGGGGGCCCATGGAACACAGCTCACTTTGGAGAGGTGGGGAGACCCCTGTCTCAGATCCCCATATCCCTATTATGTGTAAGTCACCCTGTGCCTGTTAGGGGTACAGGGTGATCTGTCCTAATATTGGGGTGGGGGTTGTTGATTGTTTAATGCCATGTGGTTGCATCCCATTGTTCTATTGTGTGTCTTGCTTGGGAGCAAACTATTATGGGATGTATGTGTTTGTGTATTGGCTTGGTGGGGGGTGTTTTTCCAGCAGCCCTCCCTCCTGATGGGACTGTCTGTGGGTGTGTCTCTTGTTACTAAAGGTAGATTGCCCAGCCCTGTGTCATTATGCAGGGAGGGGGTTGTTCCCTTGAATGTATATATCTTGTATCTGTATTAAAATAAAGTAGTCTATTTCCTGGTTTACTTAGAATACTGCTACCCCTACCCCGTACCCAGCACAGGCTGAGACGGTTCCATTACACCACATTTGGCAGGAACGGCTTCATACTTATTGGTTGCTGTTGCATGATCAACCTAAGAAATGGCAATTATACCAAAGGGGACAAAAATGGGCATCTCTTAGCTTTCCTGGAGAGACCAGACACTCCCCAATCTCTATTTTCAGAATATGGACAGAAGAAGGATAACTACCACACATTATACACTTTTCGTTTTCTGAGGATGCAGTAACTACATACTTTTCCTCTGTTGAACTCCTGTGTGTACCTGTTGCCCAAGGGGAATCCTTAGAGCAGGAAATTAACAGAGGAAATTGACAAGGCCATAGCTTCAATCTACCCGAATTAGTCCCCTGGTTTGGACAATTTCCTGTGGAATGGAACAAAACCTATGGGGAAATTCTTGCTCCACATTTGCGATGAGTATTTAACGCTACCAAAAAGGAGCGAGTACTACCACCTTTCATGAGAGAGGAACACATAGTATTATTGCCAAAACCAGGCAAAGACCTCCTAAATTGTGACGCTTACCGACCTACCTCATGAATTCAGATGTGAAAATCTTAGCAGTGGTTAGATGGTTACAAAATGTTATTTCTTTAATTATTTCTGACCAAATGGCCTTTATGTGCCCATATTAACATACGTAGATTGTTTACAAATTTATATGTACCTTAAAAGATGCAGAAATAAGGTTTTTTTTACCTGCAGAAGTTGCACTTGCAAAATAAAAACAACCTCAAGCTGTATCTAAAGCCAATACCTTTCCTTTTTAGTTTTGCAAAGTGACTAATACACATAGCCATGTCTATATTTGCAGTCTGTGACCTATTCGATTTCCCTTCTGGTCTGACAAATCGTAAAATGTTGGGTTCCCTATCACGTTCTGTATTGGTGACAATGGTCACACTAGGTGAAACAAAAAAGGAGTTAATCGGACCATGTTAAAGAAAAATAACAATTTGCTTTTTGAGTATGCTGAACATTTAATATATAGAAAACATTGATCCTAAGTCTCCTGCATGGCGCTCTGCAGTATATATGCTGATAACAGAGCTCCAGGCTCCTTTCCCACAGTGCATCTAACTAGAGAGCAAAATAAACAGGCACGCACGACTATGCCCTGGGAACAGAGTCCCGGTAATTGCAAGTCTGGTCTCCATCACACATTGCACATCACCCTATCCTCAACACAAACCAAGTTCTCTTTTATACTGCCCTGTGACAAGACAATAAATGTATACTACTTCTATGTATTTACACTGCATGCCAATTTTAAGATAGAAGAAATAGTGAATTAGAGTTAACTGGTCCTGCTGTGTGACCCCAATGTGTGTTGCTTTGAGTGCATATCAAATTCTAGCGGAGTGTAAAACTAAGTCTACAATGATTTCTGATTTAAAAGGCTTTCCCGCTGCAATAATGTCCAGTTTAAAAAAAAAACAAAAAAACAAAAAACAAAAAAAAACAACACAGCACACATTTTGCTGTGATACTAGAATGCTGCCAGCGCATTCAACACAAATAAGCTGCCTTAAACAATGAATTGTATTAAAACCCATAGTCTGGAACAACTAAAGCAGGGGTCTCCAAACTTTCCAAGCAAAAGGCCAGTTTACTGTTCTTCAGGCTTTAGGGGGGCCAGACTGTGGCCAGAGGGAGTAGAAAATACCCCGGGATCAGTGCCCAATTCATTGTTTTTAATGGGAGGAATTATTATTACATCGAGTTTATATAGCGCCAAAGAGTTTGCTCAGCGCTGTACAACAGAGGGGGGGACAATACACGAAACAGTACAGCAACAACAAACAGCACACGAGGGGTTAGAGGGCCCTACTCTTTCGAGCTAACAATCTAGGAGATAGTGCCCCATTGTTGATATCAATGAAAAGAATAGTGCCCCATTGAAGGTATCAGTAGGGGGAATAGTGTCCCATCACTGCTGTAAGTTGGAGGAATAGTGCCCCAATGGCCAGATAAAGGCAAGCAAAAAGCCACATCTGGCCCTCGGACCGCAGTTTGGAGACCACTGGATTAAAGGAAGGGGAAAGAAAAAACAAAAAAAAAAAAAAAAAAAAAAACCAAGGAATGTTGAGCTCAAGTCAAAGTTAATTATTTTAGTCAATTCACTAATTCCCAAGTGTGGATTTAAAAATGTTTTTGCAGTTGTGTCCAATGCTAATTTTAAAGCAACACCTTGTCTCCATGGCTGCAAAGGGTCCTAGTGGGGCTTACAACGGCATCCCCTGGGTGAGACAACCATGGTCTTTCCAGGACATGCACTATTATATTAGTGGGCAATGCACCAAAATTCATATACTCTGTTCTGGTGCTTTAAAGAATAGAAAAAAAAAAAAAAAAAAAGTCTTGACAATTCTTTGTGCGCCAAGGTATACTTCCAGCCCATTCAAAATTATTAGGCTGCCTTAAAACATAGATATCCTGATGAAGTCACGTGACATGATGCAACACGTTGGTCCGCAACTTTCGGTGACGCACTTCTGGGCGAGGAGGCCATTTTGGTACACCCAACAAACCCATGTAGTACACCCTTATGCATGAGGTTTAGAAGCTTTCTATCTCTGGACCAAATGTGAAATTTGTTTTCATGACATTATATTGAGTAATAAAACGTTATTTGCACCATGGAGGATCTTTTTTCTGTTTAACTATTATGATCCTGAGTGGGTGTGAGCTGTATTGCGGTACCTGTGCCAGGAGGGACCCGAGAGGAGATACTGAGTGGGAGTGAGCTATATTGCGGTACCTGTGCCAGGAGGAACCTGAGAGGAGTAAGTGGTGGTACGCAAGGAAGCTTATATGGCGTTTTTCTTCTGTGACGAGATAACATCTATAAGGATCGGGGTGTGATCCTAAAAGCGAGCTGGCCCTTGGTGGTCACGTTTTGGAGGTGAGGGGCCATTTTGACCATTTGAGGATTTTTTCACTAGAGTAGAGATCACCTATCTCACTTCATCACTTAGTATATAGATCACGGCTATATATTTTTATGGTTTTTGTCTATTGGACAGAATTTTTTAATTTTTTTTGAGATTATCATTTATATGAGGTTTATTTATGAATAGGTCTTCTATTATATATTGGCACTGATCACCAATCTTGTTTTTTCCCCAGTAGGGGATTCACTTGGTACACTATTTGCATAGTCCCATTATTGGGACAGGAGGGTGGGGTTTATATATATATATATATATATTTTTTTTTTTTTTTTTTTTTTTTTTTTTTTTTTCACTCTTTTAAGTGTGTATTTAAACAGGGTTTCCTGTTTTTTCCCCATTTTCACAATTGGATCCAGATTGGATCAGAGCACAGTGTGCGGATAATTATATTGTATTGTAGAGTTTTTGTTACTTATTTTGGAGTGCTTCACCAT